GCAGAATTGTTGCAAGCAGTGCCTCCCAATTGCCCACGGATTAAAAGGGAAGGCAATCAGCGACACTACGATTGCAGATACACGAATTCTGCTCAGTGGTGGAATGGAATAGGTGTTGTTTTCTCATCTGTTGATTGTTTGTAAGCATAGGCAGTTTAGAGCAGGTAAAGAACTAGAACAATTCCAGCATGGTCACAACAGCTGGCTACCAAATTAGGCGAAGCTTGATTAATCACATACCTTTTTATAAAGTTTAACCTGCAAACTTTTTACCTACCAACTCACTTTTTTTCGCCTTCCACTATGTAAAACGACAATTTGAAAAAACCTTAATGAGTGATAATTGCCCACGAAATGCAGGAGATGCGAGGCACCAAAGTATCCACTCTCGTTGTCACACACCGTCAGACGGTTAATAAACTCAAACAGGAAATCATAAAAAACTGAAAATAAGCGGAGTATAAGCCTAAAGGAAGGCTAGCATTGTGTTCAACTTTGCAAGAAGCACTTGACTTACTCTCTTTAGATGGATATGTAGTCATAGGCATCCTCGAATTCGACAGCACTCAATGTTATCCTTATTATATGTTAATCAATAAATTTGAGTGATCTTACTTGAGTAAAGCAAGCGTTCCAATTTCTTGCATGCTTGTATCTCTTATCAACACGCCTTAGGTCCCAATGTCTAATGCCTCAAATAATTCAAGACGTTTACTCACACTACTCATTTCTCATCAGCAAAGTGCAGTTATGTGAGAGGGGATGCCGCGCCAAAGATTAACAAATGCAATTGCAAGCGTGGTTTTATATCCGCCTTCAATTTCGAATTACCGCAAAATTGGAGGGAACTTGGTGAGTTCTCACCTTTTCTATATCCATCATGTCAATCGTACAAGCCTTCACAAATAAACACACGTTAACATAGTTGGAGATCCTCCTCTAATTCCCAGTCTCACTTCATTCCTTACCCTCAGTGTCACGCTCACACTCTTCATTATGCAATTGTCAACAGAAATGGCATAAGAGAATGCGGTACGGAATGTGCAAACGAAGCTTAAGCAAGACGATAATCCAGATCTTGCCATGTAACACGCGCTGTGCTGATTTCATCTGATGAATAATATTACGAATGCTATTTAAATTAGCAATAAAAAAGCTTCGAAATTAACGTAGGGCTGTCACAAGCCCTTTTTACGTACTTCTCATGGATTCCAAAATTCATATTTCTACCATTAGGTTAAATCATGACCAGTTGTTAAATAACTAAAAATAGGGATAGTGTGGTCATCTCTGCACTCCCGGACCTACTTAAATGACCCATAAGCAAAACAGACTTCTACCAATGTCTGGGTTCCGCTTTAAAATATTTCTAGGCACAGGAACTGTTGCACGAAATAATGAGCATCACATCACTGATGTAATGCGTACCTTGCTGAAGCATACCCTAGCCTTTCGAGACTTTCATGAAGACGAAAGAAGACTTATTCGACAAAGAAAAGGTATTAGTGCTACTGGCAGGGCCCAAAGACCAGCCTACCCGAAGTGGTACGATAGCCAATTGAAGTGTGACTCATCGCCAAAACCGAGAGATAATCAACCACCTTAGTACATAGCCCTCTCCCGTTTCTAGATCGTCCCCAGCATCCACCATGGTTAACCTCCCTCGTCATCCATCGCAACGAAGTCAGTGCTGCAGGCAAGCATCCGCGGTCCAGCCGTGCCTGTCACCAAATTTCTATGCTACTGAGACGATTCTTGACCGCAATGTCACTGATACCGCCTGGAAATTTAGCTGGATCTGGGGTTTCGTTCGGTATGAGAACTGGAATTAGGAACACAGAATTGTGATGGCAAACATACGTGTCTCCTGACAGACGCAGAATTACTAGCCTTAGAGCTGATTAGTCTAGGAAAGGACTGGATGTAATACGAATCCGTGGATAAGGGTTTCGCAACAATTCTTCCTTGACGCGTTACTCCTACTTTGGAGCTGCCCAGCCATATCTGTCCCAGCAGTATTCAGCTAGTGGAACAATGGAGAAGGTAGCGCAAATTTACTTTTGCAACAGCTTAATGCAGGCACAGTAGGGAGGGTCTGTAACAAGGCTTGAGGATAGTGTACGGTTAGTGTCGCTTCAGTTGTCAATAGCCTTCCTGCAGAACACGGGACTGGGGTAGATGCCGAACGTAGACGGAAATTTCAGCCTTTCTGTTTGGGGTCATCACCATTCCCTCTCCCGCAGCGCATGTACTTCTTCCGCCCCGCTGTTTCATCACCTTGCAGTGTAAACCAGGATAGATGTTCTTTAGGATTAAGTTCACTTTCCGCAGCCACCTATGCAACCTCTCATGACTTCCATGAAGATGAAAGAAGACATGATACTCGGGCAGAATATATGTATTTAACACATAAAGGTACTAGGGCTGCGGACATGGCCCAAAGGGGGATCACCTGGTTTGGTACAACAGCCAAGTCGAAAGTGACTCATCATTTTTACCTGAGAGATAAACAACATTGTATTACAGTATTCTTTCCGGGGTAGCAAATGCTGTGAATTAAGTGACGACAATCTGTCAGTTAGTGCAGTTTCCCACAAGACTTACTGATTTGTCAATTAATCGCAGTCAAATGAATGCTTCTAAGCATAAATGTGCCTTGAAAAGAGAACTGTGCATACGCTTGATGGGAGGTATTTCAGTGTATATACTTATACAAGTCATAGGGGCGAACATAGATAATTAATCATTACTAGCCTATAGAATTGTTAAATTGGATTAGCATGGCTTACCATCTGTGCCGCCATGCAAAGTACACTTTGATCAGGCGAAACAATTGGCCTGGCATTTACTTGAACAATGTTGCACGCTGTTTTTGTAAGTGAATTCTGCCCACATCCTGATATTGTGAACATTCCTCCCTGTCTATCGCCTTCTGCATTAAATTGTTCTATGCTGTTTTTTTTGCTGCTTTAGCAAATGTTACCGAGCTTTGCCAGTTGTATTTTATGAAAATCGGATTAAATAGCTAGAACGGAAAGCGAGTATTTTTTTCGGTGATTATGTATTTAGAGGTGAGTTTTATTGTTAAGCAATACTCACATTGAAAGAGTAATATCACATATGCTCTGATTTTAAAACGGCCTAGTAAGCTAGTCACTCATTACAGCAGAATATGATGGTAACAAGAGCTAGATTTGCCTTAATTTTTCCTCCAAGTAAAAAGCTCCTTTCACATCTAGGTCCATTTCAATATTCTCATTTATTGATATCAGACTGATCTGAAAGGGAAAGGCAGACGATTTAACTGCATGACATGGGGAACTTTCCATGAAAGAACAACTGAATTTGAAAAGTAAGCATAAAACTCCGATCGCATTGAGCCAAGAAATGCAGGTGATGCATAACTACGTCATTCTTTCCAAGGGAACGAATGTTGGTGGTGAAGTGACAAAAGGTAAATTTGATATGTGTGCATCACGCACTGCTTCATCGTACAAAGAGCACTACTGAGGCATGAGTCAGTCTTCTATTGTCAGTAAAACTCTGTGTACTTTGGCCATTTACCAAACATGGAAATTAAGGCATGCAATCCCTGTATGGTTAGTAAATGCTTCTTCTTGACAGCCATTGGTTAGGTCTTACAATGTCAATTAGACTTGCCCTATCAATGGAATTATTTATTGTGCATTGTACGAGCAAGCAGTCTGAGTGTTTACCATCACTACTCCGACTTCTTCTCACACGACAGGCTGTTATCGTAGCAATCGTTGGCTATATTCTCCCTCGAAGTCTCAACTGAGCTCTAAGTGGATACTCTGGCAAATCTGAAAGTGCTCCATCTAAAGTTACTCCTCATCTAGAAGATGATTTACTTTTTCACGCAAAAACAATAAAGCGAGAGATTGGGGAGGAACTCTTAGTGCTTTAACATATACTCGCATGCAATGGCAGGAACCCACGATAAGATGGACAGAGAGAAGCAAATGAAGCAGCGATAAAGCACTGAATGAACTACTTAATGAATGAAATAATGCTAGGGTGTTTGGAATTTAGTGACGAAAACCGAGCAAAATTTGAAGGAAAAGGGAAATGATGCAATGTGCGATGAAATTTGGAAAGCAAAGAGTGAAATAACGCCAGCGACTACACCACGTAGAAACCTGCGGTTTTCGTTACACCATCGAGGGTGTGCTACGTCGGACCGGGTTAGTACATGCTGAGGTGACGGATAAGGAACGCTCGGAGTTGCTGGCCTAATTAAACGCATCCTTCGCCTCTCCTCTAAAGTCTATTTCTCCACCTGTCCCTCTCTCTTCTTCCCCCTCTTCTTCAATGCGATAGTCGACTTCAAAATACTCAAATTTCTCCTTGTACTTTTTCTCTCTGTCTACAGACTTTCCTGTGATGTTCTTCAATTTCTCTTCTTTCCACCCCCATCAGACTTGTGTTTTCTTCTTCCTTTGGTCTTTTTAAGGAACTGTGAATGACCTTTTTCCTTGTAATGGCTTTGTGTAATGTTTGTGGATTATGGGAAAAGGGGAAACTTTTGGCAGGTAACTTGGTAGCTGGATGGATGATTTCGTCAAAACACAGAAAGAATGGAAGATTTCAAGAATAAACTCAAAAGTGGCCACTCAGTAGTTCTGAATTTTCTGCTTTAGCCCTTTGTCAAAAGGCTGAATGCCTATACTCTCAGACGTTATTAATTTAATATGTAGAGAGTAGTTGGTGCATCATGTCTGACGGGTCTAGTTAAATCACTATCGTGCGCGAAGATGAAGACGCTTATGATGTGAGGTATTTCGAAACCAAAATACATAAATTTCATTTACAAAACATCAAGGTTTATCTTTATCAGTACTCTTTTGGGGACACCACACAACTACCAGTTAATTAGAATTTTAAAGCCTACGGCATGTGCCCATATCCACTTTTTAAATTGTCAGATGAACGGGTTATTTATGTGAAGGGATATTTCTCATCTGTCAGCAACCAGGCCTCAAAGTTTGAGAACTCTTAAAAATCCCTTTTATGTGTAAGCATTCATGATTTTAGAACTGCGTGCAAATTGTATGATTTGTAGACTGCCAGATAAGCGCCGACTTAGAGAAAAAATTTCATTCATTTTATTTAAGTGTAGCACCAACCGGCTCTTTAGGATGGGTTCCTCCCAAGCCCAACTAATGGATGAAAGCAGCAGTTTCGACTAATAACCACCTTAAACATGCCCGACTATTCAGCCAAATTCACGACGGCAGGTTGTCAGTTTTATTATCATGAAGTCATGTTATTTACATACGTGCATATATGCATCAATTTAATTTAGCGATATATGGTGAAGTATGAAAACAAGTGTGGAGCTGAAATCACACTATGCAGAGAAAAATGATTTTTGATAAGTGCAAAGAAAAATATATTACTAAATCATTTAAAAGTCATTCAACTTAGCTCATAATCAACTGTGGTCCATCACAGTGTACCACAAGATGCAAGAACTTCTTTTTAACTTACAAAAATCTGTAACAGGTTTTTAAAAGCACGTCTTCCTTAAATTATTGCACAATTTTATCCAACCACCTAAGGATGAGGTTTCCTCGCACATGCAATATCGTCCATTTGCCCAGTAAACGAAAGTAGAATTTACTAGCAAACAAGTAGGTGTGGCGAATGATCAGGTAATGTCAAAATATGAAGAGAACAAAGCACATTGGCGCAATGAAGATCAGAATGTGCATAGTACATGGTAAAGATCTGTTCGTGGTTTGAGTGTTTGATCCAAGTTTTTTTCACCTTGTTATTAATTAAAATGAGTTGGTCTTAAGATGCGCACAAATCACAACTCAGAAGAGTGGCAAAATAGAGGTCCTCTTAAGGGCAAAATTTTTTGGAGCCAACATAAAAACATAAGCGAGGAAAAAAATTGCCTGTTCTGCATTCATATTAAAGATAAATCAAAGTAACATAAAGAACGGATGTGACAGAATTTGTGCAGGGGATCACACACGTGATACAAGAACTTGCATTTTAATGCAGTATTAAGGTTGACGGTTACAGCAGAATAAAAAATGCAGTTCTACAGCCTAATGTATTGACTGTTCTTGTATTCAATCCTACGGTTCATAATGAATTATTGGACTATGAAGATGTAATTTTGCATAAGCAAATCACGGGTAATGCCACTTCACGATGTCATGGCCATGCATTACGGACAGTCATCGGATGGCGTATTTTAAGTTACTGACATTAAATTCATCAAGGTATTCACAGACTATTCGCTTGGCCGCTTTTTCAATGCGCTGGATGCGATAGTGCATTTTCCACCTATTTATTTGCTCTTGGTTACTACGCCGTTAATGTAAAGCATAGTGCCATAGAAATGCTGCATGAAGGTAAAGGCTGAAAAACCCTCTCAGAAGATTTATTTGCCTTTTTACGCCCACCATTATACAAATATTTATTTATTTGTCTCTTCGTTAACACAAATTTACCTCATCCTGTGATTCACGCTTAGTATGCTTGAATTTATCAACAATTCCTGCATGAAAATGAGGGGTTAGATGAATTTGGGCAATGCTTTGTTCCAATACTTACAACAGTGAGAAGGCGGATATAGCGAGTTTGGTGATTCTGACCTTTTCTCCCTTGGACACTTTCTGGTGATTTCATGGCTGGTAGGAATATATATTAATCGAAAAGTATTGCAGCCACACCTAAGAACATCGGTATGCTACTTCTCATCTGCTTATAAGTGAATATTTATTATTTGTGTTGGCTTGTTAAAAAGGGATTGTTTTACAGTATTTTGAAGGTGACTCCGCTCTAATGCGCTAATGTACGTCAGATCATAATCAATTTGCACTAGTAAATACATTCATTTTAAGGCATATGCATTTGCCAATGGAAATGGTTGGCGGAATTACGAAGTATCGCCAAATGACAGAGCATGTGCAGCGTGCACTAGGAATTCAGCAGCACCACAACAAACAAATTTAACTCCAATAAAGTACGCTACCATTTGTATGTGAAGGCGAAGCAGAATGAAGTCAACGAACCTTCGTATTCTGCAAACATGGATTCAGCTACTTTAGTGCCATCTTTACTAGCAAGTCTTTATTGCAGTAGCCAAGATGCTTGACCATTCCATGTTTATTCAAAGGGCTGTCAGAATCTGAGCCCCGATGAAATCGTGAAACGGCAGAAGCATTGAGCCATTGTGAATGTCCACCCTGCCACTTCAATGGGTTATTGCAGTATGGAACCTCACTACCCTTTTAAACAAATAAAGAGAGCATATGCATTAAAATGCTTCCAGATTTAAGATATCCTACAAAATGTGCCAGGGTGCCTGAATCCAAATTTGTAGTGTATGAAGGTGCGGATTTGTTGAAAGTGTGGACTGTGAATTACTCACTATAAATATGGAACTGGAATCGGCAACATTGAGATTACGGGTAGGCGGCTTCGTAGAAAACATTTGTAGGTCATTGTGACTGGTGGATTCCTCTATATTGTTTTTCATCATGAAGGGATTACAGAATGTGGGACAAGCATAAAAGTGGATTCTGAACTTCTATCCTTGGAGCCATCAACGCCTCTTTTAACGTGAGGATTGGACACAGCTCAGCGTTTTCTCATTGGGCTCTGTGAAAACTGGAAAATAATATGGGTTTGCTATTATTGTTTTATCAGGACATCCTTTGTTAATGTTAATTTTCCTGCTTCTGATCAATAGGCTGGCTTCTTTTCATTGTAGCGATGTCTGGGTGGGGTTGAATCAGCAACAGTAAACTAGTGTCACCAGTCTGAAATGGGCTAGTAGGAGCGCAATACCAGGGTTTCTAAACAGGTGCTGAACACTTTAACTGGATTACTCAAGGGTAATTGCGTATATCAGGGTGGAGGTGTGCGGAAATTAATGCAGGGGAGGGAGGAATAGAGGGAGAGTAGATAGGGGACAGTACATGAGAGGTGAGTTAAAGCAGTAGTAGAATTCTACACCAACTGAAACTCTACATTCAGTTGCATCACTGTTATCTTTCAGTGTACGGCAATGGCCCTTGGCACTGCATTGGTGTTAACTAAAATGTTCTGAAAAGTGGCTAGTGTTGCTGTACCTGTTCCTTGCTTTTGTTTTGGCACAAATAATTCTGTGGGGAGGAGGCCTCGCTCTGTTGTTCAGGGCATACTGCTTGACGAAAGTTTCACTGACTGTCTTTTACAAATAAAATACCTAAATCAAAAATTTTTGCATTACGAAAAGGCTGCTTGCGATGATCTTTGGGTTTCAAATTTATAAGCTTTAGCACAGGGGATGTACATCTTTATTTAGTGCTGTGCTCAGATGCACTTGCCATTTCGGACTAAACGACCTTCAGTGTGTCGCATATCTCACTTGGCGACAAAAGGGGTATTTTGACCCCTGTCCCATTGCTACATATCTTGCCAGTGTGATCGCTTCGTATCTATCAGCAAGGGGACGACGATCATTTCCTTTGAAACAGTAACAGACCTGGTGTTAGAGTAGTGGGATAATTCTGAACCCGCCAATTATTTGCACTCCAATACAACAGTAAATTCAAACGAATGTTGTGAGTTGTGGAAGGATGATCTTCGCGAATTCCTTCCAACACCGTCACATATTTCACTGTGATAACCTTAGACCCCTTCCAGACATCTCATCTTGTGCTAACATATGATAATACTTCTCAATTTTGCAATCCCCGTTCATTAACCACTGCCTTTGATTGGCCTGTTGCCTTTTGCCCAGTGTTTGTTCATACGAGGGTGTGCCTGTCTACTTACAACATAGATGTTAGTCTCTACATCGGTGCTTGAGCACACATTTCATAGAAAATGTCCTGTTTGTCGCTCTCATTGTAGTCAATTACGCTGTGCACTTAAAGCCATCCGATTCTTAATTTCATTCTTCATTTGATCAGCTGAGCTCATTAAAAGTACCGACACGAAAATCCACATAGTGACGCACAATGTAATAGATTGATTGAAAGTGACCGGAGTGTGAGGATGGGTGCTAACGAAAAAGAATATGTAAATCGACAGCAGGGTCAGTAATGAAATGGTTAATGCATCAGATTACCAAATCTAGCTTATATTCTTTATTTTGAGAAATCACTGCTTATAGGACTTCTTAAATGCTGAATTTGGACGTCCCTAAAGCCTTCTTAATGACTTTATTACCGTTTGGGGACACCTTGCACCAATTTCAGCCCACCTCGTTGGAATGTTTTGATCAGTAGTAGGACCTACTGTCTATTTGCTTACATGCCTTTTCCGGTACAAATAACCGCTAGCCAAGTGTTCTGGTAGCTGCTATCACCATAATGTCATTTAGGACTCGAATTTGTCATCATTTTGCCACTACTATTCCGGGAAGTGCAGTGGAAGCATGTCATTGCCGAATAGCGCTGTTTTGCCGGTATCGTGTTGGATTGACAGTCAAATGTTGAAATGTGAATTGAAAAGCATTATGTCAGTTGAGTGAGGACAGTAGGTCTAGCAGTCCATTGATTGGGGTTCCATCTGAGCAGAACACACAGCAGTCACACTCAAAGCCGGCTTAATTATTGAATGATGTGATTATGTGATTGTGGTTTACTGATCTAATGATAGCACCGCTGTTGCAATGCTAGAAAGAGACGGAAGAGAGTATTCACTACTTGCTCTGGTTTTCTAGCCTCCTCCTATTCTATTCTCGCATAAATGCACGAAGCTCAGGGAAAAACCCCAAATCCCAATTCTTTTTACATACAAAATCGGGTAGATTTAACAAAATCTTTGCTACCATTATTTGCCGCATCCAGGTTTTGATCAAAGCTATTAATCTGGCCTTCTGCTCACCAGAAATATATACTATTTGATTTCGACTAATAGATACATTTAGATATCTCACGTTGTGTATTATATGGGGTGGAGTGGTTACTGAGCATCAAAGGCTAACAAGAAACCAACATTTGAACCTTCTCTTTTTTGACAACCAATCACGATTTCACCGATTCGGAAGACTGCTTTGTTGAGCTAATGAGGTAACGCAGTACATAATCCTAGTCCCCAATGCTTAGATTGTCATAACTCATTCTACTTATGCTACCTATTCTATGCAAGTAGTAAGTATACTGAGCAACAAGGAAATGTAGGAGAATGCACGACTACAAATTGGTTTTCTATTTGCGTATCTGCATAACATTTTATGTAATTCAATGTGATTTCTCTTACATACACGGCACTTCATTCAGCCCATAACATGTGTGGAAGCTTATAGTAAGAGCGCAATATGGAGAAGAGTGTAACTGGTTTATCACTGTTGGGAAGGTTTACTAAATGCAGAAAATCCAGCTTGAAATTTAAACAGTTGGAAAGTGGCCCATCACCAAGTATGGCGTGTATAAGTGTGTTTGCAGATACAGTTTCACTAGCACTGGTCTCAGCAATTCTACATCTTGGCAGTGTACGACACAGTCACACGTCACATACAGCGTGTGCGTGTGTGAGTGAGTGCAATGCGGCTGACGTTAGATTGCTAGGAGTAGTAGAAGTAGTGCGCGAAGCAGAACAGTGCCTGCGCAAACTAATGCATAAGTTGGATTGAAGAGCGAGGCTCCTTCTCATAGACAGTGACATTCTCATGCCCTATGTACCTGCTCTACCCATCAAACCGATGCTTATGTCTCTAAGCTAAGTTTCTACCTTCTACTTCTAGCCATACGTATCTTCTTCATAGACCTTCATACCAGAATCTCTTCACTGATACACTCTACTGCCTGCATCTACAGTTTTGATGAGCTGTGCAATGAAGAGCTGCACTGACCTTATCAGTGTGAAATGGTGCATGCACGATGGGATTGACTGGCTGCATTGCACTGCCTTAGATCTACCTGTGATAGGTCTCACATTATGATTTGCTGTACGCCTTCTCACAAATAAACAAACTCTAGCTTTCCGATTTGCTTTTTACTCCCCGACAGAATGAACATTTGCAGACATGAATTGCACAATTCTGATGTTGTGATTGCAAATCAGTCAGTCCACAAAGCTGTGTCGTAGCAGTTGGCATGGTGGAAGAAATGTCGCCAAACAATTTGAATGATAGAGCTAATGCAATAAACACAAATGACCATCAAATCTGGCTGATTTCAGGGATTATTTTGAAGGCACGTGCACGAGAGACCAACATTTTGGATTAAGTCACGTTTTACAGAGCTGAAAAATTATCTCAAAATCAGTGTCTCTATGAAATCACCACCTCGCCCTGGCAATATGGTGAAGCTTTCCTTTAATCTACACAGGCACTGCAATATTGTGCAGTCTCATTCGTCATTTGGCATGGCAAGAAGTCGAGAGTGAATACGGATAGATGTATTTACAACTTCAAAAATCTCCAAAGCTTCTCATCAGAAGGCATTTAATGCTCGGGTATTTTAAAAGGCAAAGTGATGGTTGCAGGATCATGGGAATTTGAGTTTTAGATGATATTATGCTGGTAGCAAATATCAGCTAAATTCGGTTGGCAGTTAGTTGTGCGAAAAAGGCAAGTAAGTGCATAGGGGGCTAACAATTCGATTGATTAAAACATCTTAATGATGTTGGTTACAAGTGCTATAAAAATACCCTCAAATTACAATAAAATCATCAATATGGCTTTAGGGGCACCGAAAATCAGCAAATTTTAGGCCCTAGAAGGAGTGATGACTCTAAAATTAAGTTGGCATAGGAACCCTGATTTTTGCCTTTTACACTTATAATAAACCAGTTGTAATTAAGCAGTATTTATTATCTCATTACTCGTAGACCTGATGGTTTGGATTATAAGGCTCAGGAATCCACCTTTACTTTAACATTACGTCTGTTGGTTTTCCACAAAAAGATTTAACTTTCCATGGCCAATGGACTCAAAGCAAAGCAGAATCGTAAGCGGTTCTAAGAAATAAATTTTTTGCCGCGGCTAACTTACAAAAAACTGAAGAACATTTAGTTTAAAGTGCAAGTACACCTAAACACCGCATTAAATAAAGATGCATATTTTTTGTGCAAAAGTATATTTTTTGAAGTCCAAAATACATTTCAGTTGGTTTTTTCATGATGCGTTTTATGAATTTGGATATTCTATTTGAAATAGGCACGCAAGGAAAATTTTGACAAGCTGTTGACACTGGATAAAAGAGCAAGGCTTTCTACACTTCAAGCTTATTTGAGCCGAACCTGAAGACTTGTGAACGCTTACGCACGGGAACATCCACGAATGAACATGACTCCACCAACCCCATCGTAGGTCCTGCAGTAGTGACGATTTGTTTTAAACAATTCAGCTAATAACAGTGAAGTGTAGAGGACCTCGCAAGCAGCATATGCCTTTTGTGAAAGGTAACAGTGGTGCAGCTGGATGTACAGCTTCAGTTGGCTCAGAATTTGACCACATATTCGATACACCCGCTACGTACTCTCCCCTACCTACTCTCTCTCTCCCTCTTTCGCCGCCATGTATTTCCTTCCTCAGACTTCCACATTTCCAGCCTGTCATATATCAGTACACCTACACCCTCGAAATTACCCCTTAGTAATCTAGTGAATGTGTTCAGCACATGTTCAAAATACACAGATATTGCGCCCCTACAAACTCATTTCCGACTGTTGGCAGGAATTGACTGTTACTGATTAAACCTCACTGTGAAATCGCCGCAATGAAAAGAATCCAATCAATTGATTAGGAGATGGAAAACTGTTATTAACAAAGGATGCACTGATAGAGCAGAGATAGTAAAACTGCATGTTTTTTCTGGCGCATCAGACAGCTAACTGAGTACACGATGGGCTGCGTCCACTCCATACAGTAACAATGGTGTTGATGTCTCCAATTAAGAAAGTTTAGAAGTTTGTCTCAAATTCTGTATTCCTATCACCATTACTAGCATCTTAATAAAGATAACTCAATCAGTCACAATGATCCGAGTTTGTTGTCTGCAAAGCCGTGTGTCTCCAATCTCGATGTCGTCAATTACATATCCGTATTTGCTGTAGGTAATTTGTAGTTGACTTTTCAACAATTCCTCTTCTTCATAATCTACCAATTTTGGATTCGGGTACCTTGACATCTTTTGCTAAGATGTCGCAATTCTGTCAATGTATTAATGTTAGTCCTCTCCTTATTTATGTGAGAGTAGTGAGGGACAGTGCTGCAAAGATCCAGTGAAGTGGCAGGAGGGACATTCAAAATGGCGCTTTACCCCTGTCACTTCAGGATGACATCGAGGCTCTGATTCTAATCACGCTCAAAGTAAACAT